GAGGCTCCTATTCCATCCCTTTCTGTCCCAAACTGTTTAAGAGAATTCTGGCATCAGTACAGCCTCCTGAGGTCAACACAGCACAGCGCTGGTATGTAAGCGACTCGGGTCACACTTGTATCAATCCTTTGATTCATTTCAACTTACCACAAGCCAAGAGGCTAGGAACACTGACACTGAAATCTTAACAATGACCTTTCCAAAGCATTCATGCTCAGGGTCTCCTGGAAAACGGACATTTTGGGCACGTGTTGCAGGGACGCAGGAGTCACTTCAGTGTTAGCTCGGCCTGGTAACTTTTTCAAGGTCAGAGGTAAGACTCAGGCGAACCTGCTCTTCTGAACTGTTGTATCATAAATGCCAGGTCTAAATCTACTGCCAGTAATTTTTCCGAGGTTCTATAATTTCATGTGTTCTAATCAATATAAAAGCATAAGGATTTCCCCCCCTCAGACTAGGCTGGCATTTTTGTATTGGTTGCATAACTAATGAATCAATAAATTCCTTTGCAATAATTTGTAGAAAATTGCTCCTAGCTGCTGGGCATTGATCTGAGTAAGTTGGATATATCCATTCATCTGATTAAGTTGGAAAGTATATCAGGCATGCATTATTAAGTTAGGATTCATGAATGGGGTGGACTAGACAACCATGATTAAGGAACTCAAGACTTTGTCAGGTAGAGAGAGGAGAGTTGGGGGAAGAGGCTCAATGATGTATAAGAGGGAATACCGTTATAAAACGCATTACTTTGAATGAGAATTAAAAACATAAATAAAATATAAATAAGTAAAATTGGGTATACTCTCACAAGATTATAACTTACCAAAATAAAAACAATAAGAATTAGAAAGAAATTCATCATAGGCTGCCTTTTATAGATGCAAATCTGCTGCCACTATCTTCCTGAGAAAGTTTGGCAGCAATGAAGACTCAAACAGTTTGAGGAAAAATGACAAAGTTCTGCCTAAACTGGGAACTACAATCTCCTAGCAGGAGAGGCTCCCCTACCTATCTTCAGATCTCAGTCTCACAGACTGACAGTGTCATCAACTTTAAACAGCAGACCCTAGCTTCTACTCTGTGAAACCGCTTCTTTTATTACCACTATGATCTAAAAACAAAAACAAAAAAATCTTAGCCATCTTATGGAGAGGAAAGAGTAGCTGGATTAAATTTTATATTAGTGTTTTATATATGCTAAGCAGGTGTAACATCTAGCTAGCTCCTGTTTAACCATTACTTTCTTTTCTGTTTTTAATATTTTATTTTGTATATATGTGGTTTGCCTGCATTATGACTATGTACCACATGAAAGCAATCCCCGTGGAAGCCAGAAGAGGGTGTCAGATCCCATGGGACTGCAGTTACAGATAGTTGTAAGCTGCCATGTGAGTGCAGGGAACCTAAGTCTTCTCAAAGAGTAGTCAGTGCTTTTAACAGTTATCTCTCTAGTTCCCTATGTAACTGTTTTTAACTTTAATATTAAAATGTAATGTAGGTTGGAAAAAAAGAACAGCAATACATTTGACAAAGGCCAAAGAAATATGTACAGATATAAAGAATAAGGAAAAGGACCAAGATGGAATTTAATTAAAACACATTCCAACTTGAACTCAATTTACGTTTTCTACAGAACCTGGCTGCTATTAGAAAATTACTGTTTTCGGAGCCTAAGAGAGGCATACAGGGATCTAATGTACATGGGAAGTAGAAAAAGACAAGATCTCCTGAGTACATTGGCAGCATGGGGACCTCGGGAGAGGGTAGAAGGAGAAGGGAGAGAGAAGAAGGGAGGGGAGCGGAGAAAAATATATAGCTCAATAAAAGCAAAAAAACCATACTTTTAAAAAAGAAAGAAAATTATGGTTTTCCTAGAACTCTGACTTCTGAGGCTTGTTGTAAATAACACTTCATATATTATCAGTACAGATAATTGATGTTAGAAAAAAACCCTCTTAGAGTTACAGTTTAACTTAAGACTGATGATTTAAAGCTTTCATTCAAAATCACAAAGAAAGAACAGAGATAACCTGGAAAACAATGCAAGATTGTGTTTCTGTAGCTGAACTGCACTATGAGCTAGATGGATCACAATTTATTGGAGAGTTTGTTCTTAGAAGCAAAGGGAAATTCTATTCCTAAATCATCATGCTGTGTTCTTCCATGACAAAATAAACCAAAGCCACTTGCAGGAGATGGCGGTCACTGTCATTCCTTACAATGTAAGGTGCAGGCATAAGGGATGGGGCAGAAAGAATGGAAAGATCATGAGGAGGAAGTGAGAGAGCAGGAAAAAAGGAACCACTGATTTAAATGGGAAATAGAGGAGTAAACCTAAGTCAGCACTGTCATTCTGAGATACGTCTTGATATGAAATCATAGATAGTAATTTCTCCTTTAAACACTTCATAGAACTCACAAATACCCAAAGGGGTACCAAGTATATATGAGGAAAAGAATAATGTTGAATGACTATGAATGAAGGAGAACATAACACAAATAGGAAATTGTTGGTGTTAAAAATGAGTTTGCTTGCGCCAGGCAGAGTGGCACAAGCCTTTAAATCCCAGAACTTGGGAGGCAGAGGCAGGTGGACCTCTGAGCTTGAGGCCAGCCTGGTCTACAGAATGAGTTCAAGGACAGCCAGGGCGACTCAGAGAAACACTGCCTTGAAAAAGAAGGAAAAAAAAAGAGTTTCCTGTGGATCCATGCTCTCCTACAGAAGAACTAATGATCTCATACACAGTGTTTGTTTTGAATAGCTCATTATGCAAAGGTGCAAAGGGTCTAGAGTCTAAGAAAACAATCTCTCTATCCCCTAAAGATCGGGCAATTACAGCACAGCTGGTATGATAATTTCATTAATAACCTGCAGTCTAGTATACTGCTAATGCCAAATTGCAAATTGGTTATGAATACTATTTCTCCAGCTTGCTAACTAGAATATATTATTTAATTTTTGCTTTACTCTAATTCTATTTTGTTTTATGAAACACAACATGGAGGGAGTATAATCTAAAAAGAGTTAGAAGACTTCCCACATATACAATTCTGACATACCAATGAAGAACCAGCAGCTCTGTGGCTCGAGAAGTACAATGAACAAGTTAAGATGATGCTGTATGAAGCACAATGCAAAACTACAAAGAGCTATTTCACATAGAAGAAATACTATTAATCTTAGCTGGAGAGGAGAACGCATGTAATAGACAACCAAGAAAGGTTTTGTGAAAATAGATCCTAACTTCAGGGTTTCGGCTTTAAAAAAATAATCTATCAGTACTTTCCAGCGTAGATAATTCAGCAATTTCACAGCTGTAAAATGAATGTCTTGAACTGTAAGGAGTCAGATAAGAAATGTGTCTTGAACATCAATCAATTAAGTGCCATTTCACTGGCTTGTAAAGTATTTGTCAGCATCTTTAAAGCCAAGAAGTGTGGTAGGTAGTTCAAAACAGCTGGCATTTTTGGCCCCATGGACTACATGGTTTATTCCTAAGAATCTCCAGGACAAAGACTGCCATTTTGTGTGGTAGCTGTCTGTGGTGTTCAACTGCCTGTCAACAGGTCTACTTCAGCTCTAGTCCTCCTATACCTTGGAAGGTCTCCACAGAACACTGTTTGATTTTCCCAGATAAGAAAGGCTGGTGATGCTGCATTTCCTGTTTAATTTTTTTATTCTTTGGGTTTCTTAGTAACCACAGAAAGAAATAGGTAATTCTACAATTATTTTTATGTCCCTACCAGTCTTTAACTATGAAGTAGGAGTTTTCACAAACCTTTCAATAATATCCTAACATGTACATCCTAAAGTAATTCACTCTTTGTTGTGGCAATTTCAGTGTGCAAAGGGTTTACAGATCTTGAGGGAGAATGGTTTAGATTCTATTAGAGAAAATAACATAAATGCATTTTTCTATATTTTAAATATCTTAAATATTCCCTCAATATCCATAAAATCAGGGAATAAATATGATTTGACACAAGCAGGGAACAGGTCACCACTTTTGCAAGATAATTACAAAGAACTCATCTACCAAACCCTGATCAGAATTTGACCCTGAAGCAGCTGTAGCTCAGCCACTCCTGTACATCATCTCTCCAGTTCCTGTCTGTGGCAGGACAGCTCATGAAATGCTATCACTGTGGGAGAAAACTCGAGGAAACTTTCCCTAACCAATCTTTAGGCCTAAAGAAAAATCAAAAGACAAAGTTCTTGTTGACAGCAATACTAAGATTCTGGGTAGGCCAATTCTTCATTGGGCCTGACTGGAACCCATGTTTGGCATTCAAATCATGCCTCAGAGTCTGCCACATCGGGCAGGCACGTCAACAGCTGTCCAGGTGTTGAGACCACTGAAAATGCAAACACCCTTTAAAAGTTCCTTCAAATGGGAATGTTGTGCCTGATTGAGTGTTGAGATATACCCAAATCACACTGATAATTAAGAGATTCCTGACACAGAAAGAGAACCTGATGCTCTTGAAAACACAAATGTAAACAAAGTACTTTTTTCAAATTTAACAAAGTATATTCCTGGAGTAATCTAGGTAGTTTTATTTTGTTTGGGTTCATACAGATGGTAAATAACAGTGTCTGCTTCTCAGGCAAAAAGGAGGTTTGCACAGCCCCAAAGCCTGTTCTTCTGCAGACTCACCAGACAGAAGTATTATTCAGTCAGTGGATTTTGCTCAACAAAATCTCAAAATTCCCAGAGAGCTCTGGAGAGTGGCAGCATGACCACACGACCACGCGTAAGACACCTGAGTACATCTTTAGGAGCAAATGTACAGACATGATGCAAAGACAGAGGCTAAGGAGAATTAAGGAGAAAGAAAGGAGAAGGGAGGTAGAGCAAGACAGTTTTAGAAATCAACCTGCAATTCTACCTCCCTACTGCCTCGATTCTAACTCTAATCAGGGTAACTCTCTAAGGGAGCTGAAGTTAGCGGAAGGGCATCTGAAGTTCTGATGGGTGTAGGGAGTAACAGCTAACCTTTGCTGGTTTTAGACGATTCTGAGGACATGTTTCCAGTCTTCTTCTTTTTCCTGGGAATAGATACACATTTCCGGTCAAATGTAAGAGGACTATATTGAGGGAGGCTGTTGAATTTCTTTTCAAATTCCTCATCCAGCTTTGCAGAACTATTAAGAGAGAGGGGAGTCAATTAGCAAAGAGTCAAATATTTAAACAGAAACTGATACATGATATATTTTTAGGTACTTCAACTTGGAAACAGGGTCCCTAGGAATTAGGACATTAAAACATTCATGAAAGGGAAAAAAGACCCCACCTTTTTGGAAATTCTGGAAGACATCAATACAAATCCACACTCCTTAGAAAACATAGAATGGCTGAAGTAGAAAATTTGACATTCTCTTTACTGGCATGGTTTAGTCTCAAAAAATTAGACACAAAGTGTATTCTACTCAGACAAGTCTCATTCTAAAAATTCATATGAATGCTCACGCAATACCAAGTTTACAAGTCATATGATATATTGAGAGTATTGTAAGTTGAGTCTTAAAATTATTGACTAGTGATTGTTTAAAACATACACAAATTTTAGAAAGCATATAAAATTTGAATGTTAGGAAAGAAATTCTAGAGTGTTGACTAATGAGGAACAACACCCAGCTAGCAAAGTAAAGCCAGTTTTCAAAGGCTGGCAAGAGAGGCAATACCACTTTAAACGAAAATCACAAATGTGGCAAAGGCAGGGAATCCTTGGGATAGTTTTGTCTCTAAGGGCCCTGCACAGCAACGGCAGCATGCCTGTTGGATCCTAGGCTAGCTGCTGGCTTTTGTTCAATGAGAATTACTAACAAAGATATACTGCAGACAGCTGGGTGAAGCTGCAGAAGCTTGGTAGACAGGAAGTGGAAGGATTGGGGAAGAAGACCAGCTCCAGATGTGCTGGGCTTCCCACATACGTACTCCCATACCCACGACTCTCCTGAGACAGATTTGCAAAGGCATTTACCCTGTTTCTCAGCAATGGTGAGATATCTCTTATAACTTGACAGTTTAACTGATCAAGTTAGGTTTGGAGACAAAGTATTTCTGTGTAGCTGAGACTGACCTGGAACTCGATATTTAGCCGTTTTGTCCTTGAACCAGTGATCTTCATGCTTCTGCTTCCAAAGAGCTGGTATAGGCATGTGCTTCCAGGCCAGCTAATCTGGCTGCTCAGAGTGGAATCATCAATTTCACTGGCAAGCTTGCTGCTTGCTGCTTCTTATTAACACTTTGGTGAGTGTGTGCACATGTGTATATGTGTGTGTGTGAAAATTAGAGGACTACCTCAGGTATTTTTTAAGAGTCATCCATCTTGGTTTCTTTGAGACAGGAAGTCTTACTTGGCCTGGAGTTTGCTGATTAAGTCTAGTTAGCCAGTGCACTCCAGGGTCCACCTGTCTCTGATTTGCTAATGTGGGGTTTGATACCATGACAAGGTTTTTGCTTTGTTTTGTTTTTGTTTTTTTTAAAAAAAATGGGCTCTGGGATTGAACTTGGGTCTTCATGCTACAATGGTAAATGCCTCAGCAGCTGAGCTACCTTCCCAGCTTTCATGCTTGCTTACTTTATTTCTCTATTTCTGTCATGAGCTGCCTTCTATCCTGGCTTGACAGTCAGATTCACAAAGTCCTGGCAGGTCTTTGTGATATGCATGGTATTATCTAGAGATGTCCTAGAATCATTTTTTTTTTAATTTAAAAAATCCTACATTTGAAAGTGTCATTTAGGAACAAAATAAATGGAGACTTTTCATACCATTACTTAAGCGTAAAGTACATAAAACTGATTTGAAATACTTTGGACTTTTAAAATACTAGTAATGAAACTATTAACTATATTATTTCAATATAATATTGAAATATATGTATCTTAAGATAATCTTGTACCATAAGCCTCTACCTTTCCTCTCTATGATGCCCTGAAGTCTCAGAATTAACCAGAGTTTAAAGCACTTTATTTCCAAGGAAAATATTACATTTTCCACAAATAGAAATACAAATATTATGAATAAAATAAGTACAACATACTCAATGCATAAAATCTGCTTACTTTTAAAAATACTTATGAAAAATATGGAGAATTATTTGTATTCAATGTGTTCTTTTCAAATTAGGCTAATGTGAAATTTCAAAGGACTTTCAAAACAGCACAAGTGAATATGTACATACTTTTCTTACCAATATAAAGTATCGTCTCTACCAACTGATTAACAAAATCCTTTATAATGATTGATATTAAGTGTGTTGGCATAACAGTAATCATGAAATAATAATCCTAAGTAATTTTTTCTTTTTTTTAAAGATTTATTTATTTATTATGTATACAACATTCCTTCCATGTATGCTTGCATGCCAGAAGAGGCACCAGATCTCATTACAGATGGCTGTGAGCCACCATGTGGTTGCTAGGAATTGAACTCAGGACCTCTAGAAGAGCAGTCAGGGCTCTTAATCTCTGAGCCATCTTTCCAGCCCCCTTATAGTGATATGTGCCATTGCTTCCTCAGTACCACATTTCAATATATAATATATACTAGAATTATTTTTCTTAGAGTAACAGGTTGTTTTTGGAATATACCAATATTAAAAGGGGAACATAATTTATTTACCTCATATTGTCCAACTATCATTATTTTATAAACATGTGTACCTATATTTAGAAATAATAAACACACTAAAATGTAAACAATGGCATAAAAAGTGCAAAATGTAAATACACAAATAAAATCCATCTTAAGCTCCAGATGGCAACATGCGTCCCAGTAATTGATAGCAAAATATCCACAGTTACTACTGCACTGTGGTGGACCTCGATCAAACTCAGGCCCAAGCTTAAAATGTGTGTAGTTCGTACCATAGCCAAAGTGCAAATGACATTACCATTCACATGGCTGGTTAAGAGCAGGAATCAGTAAGACCCCTGAACTGTTTTCAATACGGAGCTTATTAAGACAAGGGCTAACAAAAACAAAACAAACAAACAAAAGTTAGTATCTCAGGCTTACTTAACACTCTTGCCACAGTAGGTCACTCAGTGAAGGTCGCCTGTGCTTATAGGCACTTACCCAAGGAAGGAGTCTTCCCTTAGCTTCTTCTTAAACTTCTTGCTCCCACTGGTCCCACTCTGGTTAAATGTCCAGCTCTCTTCACTCCAACACCCTTCATGATCAGAGGAATTTCCTTTTCCTGAGCTCCGTTTCCCTAGGAAACCCAAGTGAAGGGGTTTGCTCAGAATACTAGGGCCAGAGATCAGCTCAGGTCCTTCACAAGTGACTTCCTGGCCTCTTTACCTATCGTTTCCATAATGTTATTTGTAGCTATCAGTACCTGGAACAACTCGGGTTGGACTGTAGAGAACAATCTTCCCTCTGAAGTAAGCAGTCCTGTCATCGTTCACTATCTTTTCCATTTGAGAACCAGCCTCAGGTGTGAGTCTGTGGCTAACAGACAATATAAATTCTAAATTTCTCCAGACTCACTAGAAGACATCCTTGAAGAATTACATCCTCCTCAGCTCTCTCTACTCTGGACTTATTTGAATAGAGTCCAATAAGAAACAGTTCCCTAGGCAGATGCTTCAAAATAAAACAAAAACGGATAAAATACTGTGTGGAGGCTACCATGCTTTAAATAACACTTCATTTTTAGTTTTGACTACCCAACAAAAGAGCTAGATAGGATATTCACTTTTGGAGACTACAGGTAAAGATTCTGTCAAATTTATTAATGTCATTCAGAAAATTCCATCAATTTAAGTAGTTAAGCTAACTGTGCCATTTAAAACTGATGAAGTCAGCCCAGAACAGAGAAACAAAAAAATAGTAATTTTCAATTTCTTTATCCTGATTACTTACAAAACAATACAAACATTCCCCTAAGTGTTCTAGAAAGTACACAGGTAAAGTGAAACGGATATAACACATGAACGACTCATGCAAGGGACTAGTTTGATGCTCCACTGTTCATGACGATTTTTTTTTTTCAATAAGTCTAAAGGGAAGACTCTGCTAGGCCTGGTAGTCCTTTCAGGTTTATAGAAGTCACTTACCTCTGTCAACATTAGCTCGCAGGGAGGTGAGCATGCCTTCTGACACCAGGGTTTTATAAAGAGCACCTTTGCAAGACCTCTCCGATTTCCTGGAGCCACAGGTCTCTGTTTTTCTGTGACAGTCACTGTCCTCAGGCTTGGCCTGTCCTGGTAGGCTAGGTGGCAGTGCATCCTCTGTGGGGGTCAATGGCTCTGCTTTTATGCCCTCTGGCACCTCCCCAGGAACATTCTTGCTGGCAGAAATATTAAGGAAATCTGGAGGTCGTGACTCCTTGATGATGTCTGAGCACTTCTCCTTGGAAACCTTCTTCTCCTTTGATTTCACCTTTTTCTTTGGTGGCTTGGCATCCAAAATGCCCCCCTTGCCACTTGAGGAGGTGCGGACCTTCTTTCTTGGGGTTTCTCCAAGTTTGTCAACACCCCAGTCTCCTTTTGCAACAGCTTCTATGGTGTACATGACACTCTCGATGTCGGACTCTGAAGACTGCCTCTTCTTGCAGGTCTTCTTGGGTGTGGATTTGTCACTTCCATGTCGATCCAGTTTGTTTTTCTTCTTTTTCTTTTTTATCTTTTCTGGTTTGTTTAGCATGGTGGGGTCCTCGATGAACATAATTCCATGAGGGTGGCACATGTGATCTTTTCTACTGGGGACATCACTAATTATTATCTTGCTACTGGCAGAGTAAGAAAAATCAGGGAAGTGGCCATATTTCTGATCATCCTCTGGCTCCTTTCTCATTTCTTTAGGGTCTTCCAGTTTCACAGCCATTACATTATCCACTTGTAGCTCTTCAAAGTTTCTGAAGTCCTTAGACTCCCTTATATTTCCCTTAGATGGTTTCTCAAATTCTGCTTCTTTCTGGAACCCAGCTTCATTGTTTTTCTCCATTTTTATGTCTCTCTCCTCCTTCCCCTTTTCCATCTCTTTCATTCTTCCACCATCCGGTTCTTTTGAATTTATTAGTTTTGTTTCTTCCATTTTCATCTCCTCTGATGCCAGACACATCTAAATAGTTAAAACAAAAGTGAGAGAAAAACACCAAACATCCTCATTATTTTATGATCAAAATTAGTTTTAACTTTTTAATCTATATCTCTTTTAGAAATTAAGAAAAGTTCCAAACTTTACAATAATCAGCTCACTTCGGCCAAACTAACTTCACTGAACTATACATAAACATCCCTGAATAATTTTCTAGCATCATCAGAACTTATCTTATGAAAATTAGATTTGATAGAGGATGGATTCTAGAGCTTAAAGACAAACTTGGCTCTTAGTTGGAAACTTGTTTAGCTCAGAATTGCTGAGAACTTTATAAACTGGATAGATCTTATCTTGGAGGTTTTTGTGAGGCTAAGTGAGATGATATTCTTATGTCAGTATAATCCCCACACTCTGTTCTGATGTTTGGCCCCACATCCCAGAGAATAAGGAAAACAGCAGCAACTTCCACTGACCCACTTGAAATTAGAAATATTATAATGAGTCATTGAACGCCGAAAGGTTTCAATTAGAAACGTGCATGGATGCCAACAGAGAGCTATAGAAACACAGAAGCTCTGAAAACCTTTCTTCTTTTTTTAAATATTGTCTGGTGAAAAACCTAATCTGATTTGAACCTAGCTGTAGATTCAGAACCAAAACAATGTAAACTATTTGTTATAAGTGGTTTATCACACTTACTTGTATCACACTTATTGTATTTTTGCTACCTGAATATTCATGCATTTGAATATGTACTGGGCAAAGTACACAGAACAAAGTCTATTATAAACTACATATTTATTATACATGTACACCTTTCTTCAACTTATTGGCAGGGCAGCAAAGGCGTACTCCTTTAATCCCAACACTCAGGAGGCAGAGGCAGGCGGATCTCTGTGAGTTCGAGGCCAGCCTGGTCTACAAGAGCTAGTTCCAGGACAGGCTCCAAAGCTACAAAGAAACCCTGTCTCGAAACACCAAAAATTCTTTACACATCTAGGACATTTAAGAGTAAAGCTGTCACCTTCAATCTCCCTATCACCTTGAAGCTCAGGCTATATGATAAATGTGAGATTATAGCTATTGTAAACTATTTTCAATACCCCAGTTTCCACTCATAAACACTTAAGGAGGACACGAATGATATCAAAAACAAAAGACAAACATAGATTTCTATGTTTGAGGAATTTACCAAGAGGCCGAAGATGCTGATCTGGTCAAGTGCAGTACAGAACAAAGGAGCTGTAACATATGTAATTTACTGCGCATTAGCAGTATGGGAAGACAAAGAGCACTGGGGCTTGCTGAGTCAGCACAAAATCCGCACAGGCCCAGGGAGCTCGTCTGTCTTACAGAACTATCATCTAGGACGGTTGACGATGGGAAACTCAGTTGTGAATGGGTAATACACTGGGTTAAATATAAGATACCCCCTTTTTCATTTTCCCCCTTCTTAGTACTTTGAATGCATCACAAACTTTGTTGAAAAAAAATCTGTAACATTTGGACTAGGAAGGAACTGGACATGCTGGGGAGGCAGATATTGCCGTTCTTTAAGAAACACTGAATAACACAGTAAGGGCGCCTGGTACTTCAGACAATTCCCAGAAAGATGTGCGCCAGAGTTGTCTTTCTCTGGACTCATGCATGTTAACTTTTAAAACTCAGCTGGTAACCATGTACACTGGGCTCTTCCCTTTATTGTACTGAACCAGAAACACGCCTGAAGCACATGTTAACTAATGTTAATGCTAAAACACTGACATAATTATTCTTCCCTGCATGTTTTACTCTAATGAGCGAATTTTGACATAATTTTCCTTTTCAACTATTCTAGCCCTAGTTATTTATAAATTATCCCATGTGGGCTCAATATACTAGTTTTAGAAATAGCTCAGAATGACATTCTCAAAATAAATGTAAGGTTTCTTTCGCCATTGTCACTTTGGTTGCCTTTCATAGGTCACGTCAGGGACTTTTCTCATTTAGGCAGAGGCATTTGCAGTGCTAGGCCAACAGTTTGCATCTGCAGCACAGATTCAACTTAGCAAACCTAATAGTATTTTGAAAACTCTATTCTCTGTTCAATACATTTCAAAATGATTCCCCTTATCACCCTTGATAGGATCCTAAGCTAGGAATGAAATGGAATACATACACATTCACTCTGGGGACATATTCTGGGAAATAGCATAATATTTCTTGTGTAGGTAATTACACCAAGTACTAGTTATGCTTTACTTCCCTATTTTAAGCTCTTCGAAGCTACCCCCACCCTCCTCAAATAGAGTGTGCTAATCCTAAATTATAAGAAATACAATTATATTGCTGGAGGTAAAATTATAAAAATAAAACAAATTCTTCTATTAAAAACCACAAATCACAAATCTGCTCTCACTGACCAAAATCCAAATCTGACCCAGACTTGAGAGTCACTAATAGAACATTCTTTCCAATATAGGGCTCATGTTACACCGTGTTCCTGAGAGTGAACCGACTTCTGCACAAAGACAGGTAACTTATGTGTGAGGGGGCAGGTTTGTTTGAGAACTTTAATACTGAGCAAAAACTGATTACCCTATTTGTCATAGATCCTAAAGTAAGACTAGACTTTACTGAATAAAACTGAGTTCATAATCAAACGTCAGAGCTTACCCAAAGTTACACAGTGAACCAAAGAGCTTAGATTTAACTCATAGGAGCAAAAACAGTCTGAAAAGTGGGTAACAGTACAACCTTGATTGGGGTTCTGTGAGGCAAAAAAACGATGAGGCAAAATACTTGCTAATTGTAAGAGCCCCATAATGACTGGGGAGAACAGATATTTCAATGTGGCAATACTCTCCTTAAATGACACTCAGTCTTCTTGCAGTACCAGAAAAGACACACAACTCTCAGTAGGGATACTAGGTAGTTTTTAATGGTACCCAGAGATGAAATCTTTCCTTTTGCCTAAATGTATCACACTTTGATTTCTACAAATCCCAGATTTCCTTATCTATGTAATATGCTAGGAAGCTTAGTCACCTCAACTCTCTATTTTAAAAATTTATGTTATATACCTGGTACTTCCCATTTCTCCTTGTAAACCCTACGCTATTGAAGTTTGAATTATCTTCCAGCTCTGTGTCAGCCACACACTTTTCATGGTTTGGCCTAAACCTTCAGTAACAATGCTGAGCAGGACAGTGACAAGGACATGGCCTTCTGATGAACTTCCAGACTCTTCATTGGTTTTGTTTTGAACATTAATAAGCCTCAGCCAACTAAGAATATCTTCTAATTCCATCTCCTATTCTGCTCAGAAGGCATACAATTAGCTTTTAAAAGTCTTGTTGAACCCTGGACACTGCAAGCTGCATACCAACAATGACAACAACATTCTCTCATCTTTAAAAAGAAGAGTAAACAATATTAGCAACAGCAAACAGAACATGAAGCTGGCTTATGCGCTTCGTCAACATAAGTGAGTAGGCAGAAACAACCTACAGCAGACCTAGCAGAGAGACTTCCATGTAGAGAACAGGTCTATTCTAACAGCTCATGAAAAATTACAACAACTAAACAGGAAATGGCAAGGAAACCCAGGGGTTAGCAACAGAGGGAAGGCTATGACAGAGGCAAAAGTGGTAAAAACACATTCCTGAAACTCAAAGGTCAGGTTTGGGGCCTCCCTAGAGGCAGCTGGTCCCTGGAAGAATGGTGTTTGGCTTTCCCAACATACAGCTCCTCCCCAGTTCCCTTTTCCTTCTTCCCTTCCTCAGTCTCAGTCTCCCATCAAGGTCTCTCAGTGACAAAATGCAGGTGGAAGCAGACCACAAAGGAACAGAAGAAGGCAGTTGGCAGGTGCCAGGATGTCAGAGAACACAGCAAACCTACTCTGGGAAAGCACCTGCGACCATGGCCTTTGGCAGAGAAACTGTTAATTTCCAGTCTTCACCCTCTTGTTTACAAGTTCCAGTATTATTAGAACAGTTTTAAATGTTTCTATGAAATAATAGCCTACATTTATAAATGAAGCTTATTCTTTGAAAGTCAGAATGATTTTTCCCCATTTTGTTCTGAGTTGTTTTCTACAACATGTCAAAGGTTACCAAAAGTGAGACAAATCTCATTTGCAAGGTCTTGTCATAGCCTACAGTGGAATTTTTCTATGTAAGAAACCCAAATTATTTTCCTACCGCCATGACGATCCAGAGTTACCACAAACTAGCCTTTCTTCATGCACATGTTCTGATCTGAACATTATTGTCCTTATTCCCTCTCCACAGCAGCACAAAACAGTAATTACGTTGTTTCACTTTCTCCTGGATCTTTATAACTTTGCTTCCTCTAATTTAGACTAGCCATTTCTTTCTTTCTTTAGTTAAAAAAAACTGAAAACAGCAGAGGTTTTTTTTTTTGCCAATTTTTGCATTCATAGCCCATACTGATTTTCAAAATATATTTTAGAGTGCTTTTTAACTGTTGATATAATTCTTTTCTATTTCTCCTTTGTTATTTGCGACACACAGTTCATATTCTGCTACAATATATAGTCAGGGGTTATCAATCATAAAGAGAATTGAGAATTTTTTCTCTTTCTTTTACTCAGATATGTATGTACTATGTGTTTGTATACAGAGGGAGGAAGAGCAGAACAGGAATGAGATCTACAGAAGCAGAAACACACTATAAGAAAATAAACTAGAGTGGGAAGGGAGAAAGAGAGTGAGAGAAACTGAATGCCATGGGTCGCACGTCAAGACTTATTTGCTGTTTTTTTTTTTCCCTGAAACTCAGTTTTCCTTAGGTCTAAAAGCTATATCTGATTCTAATGTGTCCTCACTCTACTGTACTCCCCATTTAAATACTTACGTTTCCTGGCTATTATATAAAACCTGCTCAACTCCATTATTTGTTGTTTTTAATATTTATTCCCTCATCATACTAGGTATTTCCATGTGATATAAACAGATCCTGGGGATAGACATGGATGTAATAACCCCTGCTGGGAGTGAGCAAGTTTGGTATTAAGGGGT